TTCCCTGATACCTAATGAAAATGTGAAGCAAGAATGTCTTTTACTGGATCGAAGTCCAGATAATGCTGCCAACATTGCAGCCATTTCATTTAAGCATTTACATGCTGTGAAACTGGGTGTGGAATCTGTCATGGCACATGGGCCAAAGTTAAGTTGTCCTGTAGTGAATGCTCAGGTTATGTTGCATTGCTTGGAAGTGGGCAGAGGGACTTCTGATACAATCATTACAGCTTCTGTTGCTCAGTGTATCCGCAGGCTTCTGGAGGTAGATGGGACTTCCCTCATGGAACCAATAATGCACCTGGAAATTGTTACTAATGGACAGAATTTATCTGTAGTGTTGGCTGATCTGACTCGTCGCAGAGCATTAGTACAAGATATATCCAGTAGAGGGCTGTCCAAAGTTCTGAACGTACTTGTGCCTCTTTCTGAATTGTTGGGTTATTCCACCGATCTTCGAACTATAACATCGGGCACAGCTTCATTTACGATGGAGTTTCATTGTTATCAGCATATGTCCCAACAAGATGAAGCAAAGGCAATTAAAAATGTGACAGGTTTGATATAATTTAAAATGTATTAGATTAATTGAAATTTGATTGGTAACTTCTGATTCTCAGTCTTTAGTAATATTACCTGAGTTTAAACAGGTAAACCATTATTGCCCATAATAATTTAAATGTATTAATTCTTAAGGAGTTGTCATTATTACTGTTGGAAGTATAAAGGCACCACATCTGATGACTGTATGCAGAAGGTTCACCTTCTTGTTACATTTATTTGTTAGGAAGTTGTTTCTTCAAGAATAATAGCCAAAGCAGTATGAAAGAAAGATTATTTGCTGCATGAATTTGTACGATTGATATTTCTTCATTTGTGGAGAAAAATGTACCAATGCATGCATTATTTAGAACTTTTCTTGTTTATTAGTCCCATTAGATCAGTTCTCAACTGTTTCTGGACATACGGTCATATTCACTCTTTCTTATCACTTCACTGGCTCCAAGGTTATAAATTTATACAATTTATTGAAATTCATTGTCATTTTGTTAAAAATACCACTAAATTGGGCTTACAGTTGCAAAATTTTCTTTAACAAAGTCAGTCGTTAGATATTTTACACTGTATGATGTAAAACTTTCAACACAAACTGAATTAATAAAGTACTCACGGGCTACCATTTGACACAGCTGTTAGCCCTAGAGAATTTTATTAGTATTTGACACTGTTTGTGCTTGAATTATCTTTCAGTATCAGCTTCAGTAGCTGTTATTGCAATTTACTTGCATTCCTCATAGTGCTTGTGTATAGGGCACATGCTTGTTCTTGATTTGATGTTCTTCATGTTGAGCAGTTGCTCACAGCCAAATGTAACATTAACATGATTTTTGTTTTCTGATATTAGGTAATTGTTTTTTATCATTCATATTGGCACAGTATTGCAAAAAATGTGTGTGTGTGTGGACAGCAAAGAAAACATGGGAAGGGGGGGCGTCTCATGCGGCCTGTGGATTGGGAACCTTTGCATTAGGTCATCAGAATTCACTGTTAATTATATTTTGGTTGAATAAAATAAGGTTGCCTGATACATCTGTGAGAATTTGTCTTCCTCTGAACCTTCCAGCCTCGGATGCTTGTATTTCAATGTGCACAGACTAGATCAGAATGCTTCATAATCAAGTTTTCAAGTTTTGTGAAATAATTGGAAGCACTGTATTTGAACATGAAAAATTGAAAAAGAAGCTTTATAACATTTGAATATTTTATTTAGTGACTCTTTATCCATATCACCATCATTTATCATGGCTCTTTATCGTCATCAATTTAACATAGGTTAGCTCTAGGTTGATAGGTTCATCTGTCATACTTGTGGATCATTGTAATTTTATTAAATATTCTTATTTTTTAATCTGAAACAGGTTCTGTTTGTTATAAAAATCCCGATTTTTTCTTCTTTAGTGTTTTCATCAAATACATAAATATAAATAATTTTGCATGCCCTCAGCATATCTCCCAGATATAGGAAAGAAATAATATCACCAAGGAATATATTTGTACATATTTTATTCCTTCATCTCACATTCATGAACATATACACTTTCAAACATACTTTCTGAGATAGTCATTGAATGTAAGGAAGGAGTTTTTTGTAAGATTTGAGGTTTTCATAGTGTTGAGATTGAAGATGGCTGTCGTCTGGGTTGTTGCGCCATGTAAGCAAACCGCTTACTCATCGCCCTGATGATGGAGGCAGCATGGACCTTGAAGTGTCGGTACATTTTTACCAGACTACATGGCACAACAACCCAGAAAACTGCCATCTTCAAGGAGTTCTTTGTCTCAAAAGTTCTGATTCTATTTCTGAGTTTGTATAACTAAGATCTGTAAGATCCTGAATCACAAATTTTCAATTCTTTGCAGTTTTTACTTGTATTCTTCATGTTTATTCAGAATCTAGGTTGTAACTGAACTCACTGGAGTCAGCATCTGTTACATAAATGTGTTTGTGGCGTTCAATGGTTTTTATGTCACTCTCAAGCTGTTTCAGTTCTTCCTCGAGTTTTATTTTGTACTTTTTCTTTGGTATTGTGTCTGTAATAATGGGTAACTGCTGGTATGTTTTTTGTAGTTCTTCCCAGTTGTGCTTCAGGCCCTAAAATTTAGACACAACTGTTGCTTCCATCGGTAAATATGGCAAACTAGGGCTATAGCTTATACATGAAATTCCTGCACCTACCAGGAACTACCATCATCCAGTCTGTAGCCAGTCCATTTGTAATTCATTAGTAATTATTGTTCATCAAATACTTTTTAATGGCACAACTTGTCTGGCCATGTAAACTACATATAGTTCATACTGTATCAGTTATTAAAGCAAAGTAAAAGTAAAGTAAAGTTTGTCCCACTATACGCCATGTAGGCGTTTCGGGTGAGTGGAGGTATAGCTCCTCTCTTCCTTGACCCCGGCACTAGATGGGGGTGAGTGGTCAGCATCACGCCCCGGTCGGCTTTACCCCCGGGAAAGGACCCCGGTACCCATTGTAGAGGAGGCTGGGTGGGCCCCAGAGCCGGTCTGGACGCAGAAGCTAGAGGAAAAATCCTCTGCCCCCGTCGGGGATCGAACCCCGGTCGTCCAGCCCGTAGCTAGTCACTATACTGACTAAGCTATCCCGGCTCATTATTAAAGCAAAGTACATTTATTTAATCCTAATCATCCATATGTCATGGGTTATGCATAATACAATTGACTGTGTGTGGCAATAGCACACATCTGTACCATTAACCTGGGAGGTGAATTCTGCCCATCTGCCCCATATTGTGGAGATTTAAATCCCCTATTCCTGTACGATAAAGGTGAAATTTTGACCAACCTGCTTATCACTACTTAACCTGTAATTTGACCTGTCACTTTATCAAGAATAGCCTTTTCTCAAAGTGTAAATTAAATATCTTGTGATATTCACCATTGAAGTGTTCTTTCCTAACCAGTTTATGCAGCTGATCATACCAGTTCTGGTATCCACAAATGGCATCATATGTATACTCACCTGAAGCAACGCCTTTCTTTGTGACTCTGTAATGTAATGACCCTCAGGTTTGAGCTGTTTTATTTCTTCTTGTATTTTCTTCTTTGATGCTTGTACGTGTAGTTGTCGGTGGTGCAGATAACTTGGAATTTTTCCAAAGGCCTGTAATTAATTAATCTTTCTGAGATAACAATATTTGATAGTCTGGAAAACTAATACTGCAGAATGATAAATGGTGTCTCTCATTATTAAGTACATAGGTGGCTCAGATTTGATCCATGGTTGGATTGTAACATTTTTTACCAGTTTCATTAGACAGTTTTCTCAAGTAGGATTTGAGGTTCTCATGGCAGTAAGTGGAAAGATGGCTGTCTTCTGGGTTGTAGCACCATGTAGGCTGGTAGAAGGTTACCAATGTTGCTACCTCTATCATCAGGGCAATGAGTGATCAGCCTGATGATGGAGGCAGCAAGGACCTCTGAAACATTGGTAAATTTCCTCCAGAATACACAGCGCTAGAGCCCAGAATATGGCCATCTTTATACTAAGCTGCCGTGAGAACCTGAAATGTTATTTGGTTGACCACCAGTTGGGAGAAAAACAGCTTTATACAGCTGTATCTAACCAGTCAAAGGTTCATGTTAGCAGTTTTGAACCTTTGGGTCATAATACCAGACAGTTACTTTGTTGTGTTCTTAAATTACATTATTATATAATTGCTTTGAGTATAAACTGGCAGCAAGTGAAGAATAATGTACCTTCTTCAGAACAAAATGAGTTTCCATGCCAGAGGACTGCAAAACATTAGTGTCTCCCATTTTTGTATCAACATAATTGCGTGTTGGTTGGCGTGGAACAAGTTTTTTTGCTTTTTCTATGTTTTGATAACAGTAATTATGTCCATTTTTCCTTTTATCTTTAAGACTGTGTTCATTTTGCTTAACATCATGTTTTGCTTCCATTCCTTCTTCTTTGTCTTCCAATGCTTGTTCTTCTGTGTACTACAAAATAAAAAATTTAGTCTCAGCATACAAAACAGTACTTTGTAGCAATGAGCAGTTGTCATATTGCATGTGTGTCTCTTTATAATTTCAAAATTAAATGTACTTTCTTTAGACATTCACTTGGTTTTAGATTATGTGAAATAATTGCTAAGGTAAGTCATAATACAGTTATGCAACCTTAATTTCTTATTTAATGAGCTAAAACTTACTCTTGCCATATCATGCTTCTGTTTCTTTGCAGCCTGTATACGTGGTGGAATCTTGGGGAGACGGTGTGAAAGTAGACAGCGTGGTTCATCTGAAAATTAACAAAAGACTTTACTTTTTTGCTACTGTTGTGTGATACAATCAAATATTGTATTTGTGCTGGTTTAGTCACGTATAATTTCTTATTTTATGTGACTAATAAAAATCATTATTGCTTATGGTTCTACGTACCAGTCTTTGGACAAGAAGGCAATATGCGAGAATTTTTCTTTAGATATTCTGATGGTTTGTTTAGTGGAATGTCTGCAAAACCAAATGTTTTGTGACTATATTTGATCCCTTTAATGTCAGCCTTCACAAATTTAGATATGAATGTTGGCTTAGCACTGAAATGAACAGAAGCAAACAGTATTTCAGCACTGCAATTAAATTCATTGTATCAACGTTTATATTATAGACACTGGCAGGACTATTCTGTGAACTGTAAATAATACAAAAATATTTTTTGAAAACTTTTTCATTTTAGGTATCAGTAACTTTTACCTTACTTTTGGAGGTGGCTTTGCATCTTCCTTCTGAACAATATTGTATATATTTTCACTGTGATCTGTGAGCAATATTCTTGACATTATTCTTGGTGACATTTACAATTTCAAATTTTTTTAAGAGAGATCCAGTAAAAGCTTTATGTTTCAGTTTTAAATCTGTTTCTGCATTTTATGATTCATGTTTAAAATTCCAGTTTGTTGCAGTATTTGTGCCCATTATTTTTTTTATGATTGACAGTATTAGTTTCATTCCAACTTTCGGTTTGTGTGTTGCCTAGCAACGCAACTAATGGGCGGTACTTTTCTGCCTTCAACATTAAAGCGCCTAATTCAAATACTTAGTTCCCCGGTACTTTTCTCTTGGTGCTTTTGTCAGTACTGTATGTGGTTCAAGTAATAGAATATGTACATAGTTTGAGGAACACGTTCATAGATCGCACTGCCGTTTATTTACGTTGCCGGCGCATGCGCAAAAATATTCAAAGCAATGCATTTGCTATTTATGGAAGTGTTTATGTAGGTGGCGCTTTGCTTGCTGATATGAGAACCGATTTTTCTGTGCAGTCTGCCGTGGAATTGTCCAAAAACTTAAACTGTTTTGTTTAGACATGTTTCTATTAATTTATCAAAACTCACAATGCTTCCGTAATCGGTAGTTTAAATATGCGCTTTGTTGGATAGGTTTCAAAAGGTGAGGCCTTGACGAGATGTTAGCTGTCAAATATGTTTTCGTGTGTCAGATATCAAGACGTGTAAATATATGCTGTAGTTAAGATTTTGTTTGAGTTAATTCGTTTCATATGGGTTAAATTGATATTTTGTATGGCGTTCTGTGTTCCAGGAGTGTCGGAATTTGGTGTCAAAGCTCATGCATGTTGTGGGGGGTACTGCGTTAACACACCAGGGAGAACAGAGTCATTCTCAAGACCCATCACCTCCAGAGCAACATAGGAGTAATGCACATGCTTCAAATCCATGTAAGAATTCGATTATGCCTTTCTTGCAATATCTACGTTTTCAATGTTTGTTGTATTGATCTAGGCATGTCAGAGATAGTTCGGTTGTGAATTGCTTCCTTTATCTGTTGAACTCTTTATAAATTTTAGTTCTACATGAACTTGGACAGGAACCAGAAATGGGTTAACTATATGTGTTTGGAACTTTGAAAACATGTTTAAAATTATAGTGCATATTTTGCTTGCAAAGGAACCAGGATACATAAGTCAGTATAGTGACCAACTATGGACAGGATGATCGGGGTTCGATCCTCGACAGGGGCAGAGGATTTTTCCTCTAGCCTCTGCATCCAGATTTGCTCCTGGGCCCACCTAACGTAACCTCCTGTCCAGTGGGTACAAGGAGGTAAAGTGTAGCCTTTGCGTGATGCTGAGGTTAAGAATGAGCAGGACCTATACTCCTCTCCCCTAAAGTGTCTACATGGCATGCAGCGGGACAGCTTTACTTTGTATTTTGCTTGAAGACTGACCTCTGAAGTAATATAATGCATAAAGTTATCAGTAATTTTTTTGTTTTGTTTTTTTGCAGCCAACCATGATGACAGCACCTTGCATAAGGTACAGCTGGATGATAATGGCAACAATGGGTCCAATCAGGATGTGGAAGAAACGGAAGAAGACATTGAAGGCAAAGAAAAGGGAGGCAGTGAAGAATTTAATGATGAGGACTTTCAGAAGAAAAAAACTTTAAAGGATTTTAATCTGTTTGGACCATTTATTGATTCTCACACTGCGGATGAGTTTGAGCCTGTTGAAGGTTTACGATTGTTTGATGTTGAAGATGATGTGAGAACCCAGATTGATAATGGCAACAGAAATGTTGAACATTGTATTGATATTAGTGTTAAAAATAAAGATGAAACTACATTCCAAGGTGATGAACAGTATTTTAGTGGTGATGAAATCAAGCAGGTGTGTACTGTCGGTAACAGTGATAAAAATAAACCTTGCAGAAGGGTGAATGAAAGTGTTGCTAGTGTACAAAATCATGAAAATATAAACATGAATGATGCAGAACTGGTATCAGATAACAAATGTAAAATTCATAGCAGGATGTTAAGAAACTCTGAATGGCAAAAATGTTTAAGTGGAAATCGACTTACCGTTGTGAATTGTGGAGATGGTAGCGTGAACAATGTCTTACGACAGGGCCACGAAGAACATCTTCATCTGAAGTGGCATCTTCAGGAGCAAGTCAATTCCCAGGATTGGATTTCTCTTTGCAGTCTGAGTGAGTACTATTACAGAATGCTACATATGACTACAGAATCTGTCTGTTAAGGATGAATCAGAGTTGTTCTTGAGAAGCTGACAGTTTCTTAACAAGTCAAGAAATTTTCTGTCATCTGTGTAACCTGAAGCTTGAATACCGTGTTCGTAAGAGCTGGCCATTGGTCTGTGTCCTGATCCAGATGAATCCAGTTCATATCCCCTCACCCTGTTTTCACAAGATCTGTTTTAATATCATTCTTCTGTCTTCCATGTGGTCCCTTCCTTTCAGACTTGCCAACTAAACTTTTTGTATACATTTCTCATCTCTGCCCACCTCATTGTCCTTGAGTTGATCACTCTCGAATATTTGGTGATGAGTACAATTTTTTAAGCTCCTCATCATGCAGCAGTTTTCTCCAGCCTCCTGTTATTTTATCTCTGTTAGGTTCAAACGTTGACCTTAGCAGTTTGTTCCCAACTCTCAGTCTGCTTTTCCCTCAGTGTGAGACCAAGTTTTATACCCATGAAAACAGGATTTAAAATTATACTACATCTTAATATTTACATTTTTACATTGTAGCTATGAAGACAAACGATTCAGAACTATAGGTATTTCGTGAATTTAATTTACTCTTAATTTCTTCACGAATGAAACTTTGTTACCATTGTTCCCAAAGTAAGTGTGGATAGACGTGGCAAAAGGTGTGAAAGGTACGGAATTTCAAAATTCTGTGTACAGAATGCTGGATCATAAATGTACTGAAGTTATTAGAAAAGATTATCAGACCCAGATAGATAGGATGGATGTCCAAAAAATGGTGGAATGGCTTTAAGTCTTTGTAATCCAAGCGTAAAGGCAGTTGAATTTTTGATGTTGATGTTGATAAAAGTCTTCTATCAGTTGTGGAACTGCACAGGCAGAGCAGTGGCCTGCGGTTGGGTGACTTACCTGGAGAAGTCACTTACTTATCTGATTTAAACAAATTACGGGGAACTGATTCTATGAATGTCTGATGCAGGTGAGGTGATGAATATTGCACTACTTTCCATGACGCTTTATGTTGGGGCAATATCCGGTTATGCTTAGTGTCGCACCTCAAGGAAAGCGTTCCCTCTTTTGTTTGACAGACACGGTGGAAGTTAGCCCGTCGGCAAACCGAGGTTAGCCCCAAACTCTGAAGGCTGTGACTTGTACTTGTTTTGAATCTTGACCGGGGTACCAGCTGTCCTGACTGACATTTTTCGTGGTTTCTGTCAGTCACTATATTTGAATTCCAGCTTGGTACCTTGACGTGGATTGCTACGACCTCATGTGCAGCCATTCAAAATTCTGTTGAATTACGTCTGCATCGTCATTAAATAACAAGTCGTGAGGTTATCAGCTAGAGTTATGAATATTGAAGTTTAAAGAATTTGGAAGTGATTGTGACCTATTTGAGAGTAGTTTCCGGGCACAAAGAAATTCAATGAAATATCTCAAGACATAAGATACCTTGTCCAAGAGTCAAATTGGGTACATCCTGAAGTGTTATCGCTTGAATTGCCTTGTTCAGTTGTCATTTTCCTTCCTGATGCCAATCTTGGTTGATAGTCCACTTTTTGATATAATTCACTAATTTGATTGTTTCTCAAGTTCCACACTCGTAATACACGAGTGGAATATTTATGGGTCACACCCTTTTTCACGTAAATTCTTCATTCATGTATGTATATGAATTAACACGTGAACAGCGTTGACAGTGCTGTCATAGTGTGGCGAGAAGTTACCTGAGCATCTTGAGAGTTCTGGTGACATGTTGAATAAGTTGACACCAGAGATTGACAGAATTCTTTTGTGGCTTTTATAATATTTCTGAATGAAATCTGTGTTCAGTGACATAGGTCTTGGAAAGAAACTTGATTGTCTTTTGCGTGGAACATGTTAATAGTGCCAGTAGCTATCTGAAAGCTAAAGAATGCAATTTATTAGATAATGTTATTTGTTATTTGTACTGGCATGACGCTTGGTTTCAGTCTGAGGTCATGAGAACAACGTGTTGAGTAGTTTGGGGCCTAAAAATGGGGGGGATTGACAAAACAACACAATAAGGACCTTCATAATTCAGGCATTCGACCTAATCTTCGCACAGTCTTATTGGAGATATTAATCTTTTGCTGTCCGTTTTAAATACCTCTACGCTGTTCAAGTACTATTATGAACTGATTTTATTTTCTATTTAACTTGCATAAAACGGAACATACTTTGCTAAATATGGTGAAAATATGTTCTGAGCGGATCACAGTTAATCTTTTTTGAATACTGACCGTATGAAATATTTTTCACGGACTGTACCACTGTCGATAGTGAGATGCGTAATATACGATGCATAAGCATTGGATTTCTTATTCTCAGAGCTGTGTTCGGATACGTCCTAATTGTTTTCGAAAGGTCAAGACCAAATTCAACACCAGGAAAGTGAAATACAACGCGAAGTGTAGACGATAAGTCACTACTCATAAAGAATTCTTTATAAGACGACGAACGAATGTGCACATGTCAGAGGTAGATTGCTCTACGCGCCAAAAATAATTAAAAAATATATAATTGGGATATGGGATATTCGTTTTATAAATGTATCAGATATAAAATACTTCTATTCTAAGTAAATATGGGAGCTACACACACGATGACATTACGTCTCTATATGAGGTATGGCAAAACACTTGGTGTGGAGTCCTGGCTTCCTTCGACACGTGTCAGAATAAAACGAGTTGTCTCTCCTGCCTCCTATCACTGTTATAAGGTATACAGAGTCTTACCAGGAAAACTAGTACAAAGCAGAAGGCTTGTGTGATATGCTGACTCTGTTTGCCAGCCTCAGTTTTCACTCCAGATCACGTAAAAAATGCGTAAAACACATCGGACCGGAACTCGGAAATTTAAATGTCGGTCTCAGTCCGACAGAGACCGCAAACGGTTAACTCAAAGAGGATGAGATGTGTATCACATGTAGCATGCATGGGAAAAATCCTAGTTTTTACAATTTTAGTCTGGACACCGCAGTGGAGGTGTTGAGTGGATCATAGAAACTTTTGGTGTAATGGTGTGGGCTGGATTCAACTGGCATTGGGTGTTTACGAACATGGTGATGAACCTTCGGGCTCCATAAAAGCAGTGAATTTCTTTGCCGTGGAATTTATTTCTTCGTTGTGTTGGTCGACGATGGTCATTTTCTGGTTCCTGTCAACTGTCTTTGAAGTCTGCCTCGTCAGATTGCGTTTATCCACTTTGGTTTGAATGATGTTCGATGGTTTCCTCGCATATCTCACCAGTTTTCTTTGTGAGATCATTTAAAGTAGGCCGTTTGTGTACGAACGAGGCCGGGCTGCGATGTGGCTGTTGGCTTGATTCACTGACGCAACCGGAAACCGGAGCCCACCAGTTTCATCATTTGATTGAGTTAACCCGAGGCGTGGAAGGTCATCTGGTGTTGGCGCAAATGTGGATGATTCCCACACACACACTTCTCTCCTCTCCCGTTCATCGTCAACGCATCCATACAGCAGCAGTTCTGAGATAGGCTTTTTTTGGCCTGATGCAGAAATGCAGCCCTGTGGTTGGTGTAGAGCTGGATTTACGAAAAATGTGTTTTATTGTAGCTGATTTATATAGCTTTGGGTCTCATATTATTAAGTGTATCAAAGAATGCAACATTTTTATTTTAATTCTGTAGATGAGATGATATTGTTGCGTCATATTGTGATGGTTATTTAATTGTTTATTTTAACCGTCTAATCACAATAAAATATTGAATTAAATATTAAAATATTATTACTATAATTAACATTTAATATTTAAAATATATTAAAATGATGCTCTTTTTATCGAAATGTTCGATTTACAATTAGAGCATCATCTTTTTCACGACATGTTTCGGTTTTCAAGGAACCATCTTCAGGTGTATTTTTAATCGATATAAATTTAAATGTAATATTATAAATGCAATCCTTTAATTGAACACAAATATTTACTTTTATATTGTCTTTGATGTTATTTTTTCTACATTGTTATGGTCCCATTGTGCCAAAATAGGGCCCTGTTGTCGTGTGTTCCCATCCAAAATTCCGCTTACGAGGAGGTTTCCTAACCAAAGATCTGCAGGTCTTTTCCTCGCTAGTCGCCGCGTGCCGCGCCCATCTGATCGTCTCGTCATACTTGATGTGTGCTCCGCAGGACAGTACGAGGAATACGAACCCTCTGTTCTGAATTCTTCCCACCACTTTGTTCAGACTCAGTTTTTCCCTCCGACATTCTTCATTACACCAGAATAATTAAAGTGTTCCAGCGGTCTGCCTTCGTTCCCTCGACCCCTTTGTTCTCCAAATCTGATTTTCTAGCTGAGCGTTCACGTAAAGAAGCTCTCTTTGAAACATCAGTACAAACAGCGATGACACGAACTCCACGCCAACGTCAGCATCCCCAATGTTAACTTTCGTCTCGAACATGGTCACTACGGCATGTAGTATGGCAGACATTGACCGACATAGCTTCTTCTTCTTACTGTCTCCGTCGTCAAGGCGATGATCGCCCTGCTGACTTTGTTACAGTGACTCGTTTACTCCTCCGCAAAAACTCCCAAGCCGGAGGAACACCTCTTGTCGGTCGTTTGTAGTTTCACTTCGCAACATGGCGACCGACTGCCTCGTAGATCCGGGTGTCGACTCTGTAATGGGTGTCAGTGCCTTCTCCTTTGACTCGTCTGTCTCATTCACTCTTTCGCCCGCGTTTTCCTCGTCTTCTGAAGCTGTTACCCTGCGGTCACATTTCCATATTTAGCGGCCTGCTGTTCCAGTTATCGGAATCGCAGAAGATTTCAAAGGCGTTTTGTTAGAAAATTTTTATGAACCTATAATTTTAAAGCGAGGGTCCTTTACCTTCTCGAGACCTGGGGCCAGATTCACCGTTTCTTATCGCCTCGCGGGCCTAAGGTTATAAATGAGGACAGTTGAACCGCTATGATAGTTTAGATCCACTGTTGC